TTTTGAGACAGAGTTTCGCTTTGTTGCCTAGGCTAGAGTGAGTGCCATGGCGTCAGCCTAGCTCACAGCAACCTCAATCTCCTGGGCTCAAGGGATCCTTCTGTCTCAGCCTCCCAAGTAGCTGGGACTACAGGCATGAGCCACCATGCCCGGCTAATTTTTTCTATATATATTAGTTGGCCAATTAGTTTCTTTCTATTTATAGTAGAGACAGGGTCTCGCTCTTGCTCAGGCTGGTTTTGAACTCCTGACCTCGAGCAATCCACCCGCCTCGGCCTCCCAGAGAGCTAGGATTACAGGCGTGAGCCACCGCGCCCGGCCAATAGATGAATTTTTAAACACAATTTTATTTTATGTGTACTTTTTTATTTTATTGTTGTTTCTCCTTTCCTTAAGTCTTGCATGTCCCTTTATTTTCAAAGTGTCTTTTTCACTTTATTTAGAAGATTTTCTTATAAATAATAGATGAGTATTTTTTAAAACTCAATTTATTTTACATTATTTTTAAAAATATTATTGTGTCGTCTTTTCTTAACTTCTCCTCACTTATTGAGGATGTCCTTTCTCACTTAATCTATAAGTTCTATTTAGGTTATCCATTTCAAAATCGTCCTTAGATGAATGAATGAATGAATGAGTGAATGAACAAAATAAATATGAACATTAAAATTTGGCCAAGAAAGTACATGATTTTAAATATCTCTGCTAGAGAGAAAAACATTAAATTGGGGATTTTGATCCTGAGTCAGGAATACAAAAACACCCCATTGTATTTTAATTTCACATCTAGGTAAACCAATCTCCATCTTTGAGCCCAAAGCTGTCTTTGATGTTCTCCTTTTGTAGGCCACAGTACACCAAGAAAATCTCTTCATTAATTTTTCCTTTCTTAAGTGCAGGAACTGTATTGTATATCCAGTATTTCCCACAGGGTCTACCACATAATAATGACCTAATAAATTTTTGTGAGTTAAGGAATCTAAGTGTTAAAAGGAACTTTTAAGGTCATCTATTTCAACTTCCTACAGAATGCATAAATTCCTTCTGTATCTGGTGATCTATAATCACTAAGTTAGTTAAGATCAATTTTT